ACCATCGTACAAGATATAACGACGTTCTTTTTATCTGTTGGTTTCTTAATCTCACGAAATATATTTGATAATAGACCATCTGTCCAGTCACGAGTTGTCGTATCCAAAAAGCCATATAATTCAATAACACTACAACCTCTGGGATTTAATGTATATAATTTTGTTGGTGAATTCATCCTAAAACACGTACGATAAAACAACTAAGATGACTTCGATAAAAGGATTTTGCGAAGGAAAGATTTTTATATGTGTATAAAGACAAAGCAAAGTCAAATATGAGTTAACATTGAAATATTTATCACTATCTACGAGTACAAGATGCTATTGGTGATTTTTTTATTAAGTTACAAAAATTATTTTCATATAATTGAAGTTGACGAACCTCGTTTGTGATTGGGCTAGAATATTTATCACAGTCGATTTTCCACCACCTGTAGGACCGACTACCATGGTAGAATGTCTTGTCATCATTGTTTCGTATAATTGCACTACTTTATCAATCTACAAGAATACAATATTTTGTTTGTCATCTGTCTTGTTGCTCTCACTTTTTGTTCCAGCATAACTTTAACACAAAAATATCTTACTTTCTCGTTTTTTTCACATTGTATTTGTAAAAAGTTTTAGAGTATTTCTACATTCAAAATTCAGTTAGAGAAGTTAATATTTTACCTGAACTTCATCGATAACATTATGCATTGAAGTAATTGTATCTCGAACAGCTTTATCAAATTGTGGATATGTCACTCGTTCACATTTCAATCCAGGAAATAGATCAGCAATTAATCCTTGAAATAATGGAACATCTTCATACACAAATTTTGGCATATTCATATCACGTAGAGCACGCATTAACACCAAGTCCTTGAAAAATAAAATAGACAATAATTAGAAAAACAAAAACAGAAAGAGAAATACAGTTTACTTCTGGAAGTTCAGCTGAACTACGTTTCAATTCACCAGCCATAACTAAAACTGATTTTAATGCACGAAGACCAAAATCATAATGATGTTGTTTTGATAATTGTTCACGAGACAATTTATACAAAACCGTCATTTTTTTAGCCAACATCTAGTAGTACAAAATAAAAATCTATAAATACATGACATGCAGTGTCGGAAGGAGGAAAAAGAAAATTTCCATTTTTAGCCAGTAGATGCATAATCTCTGTGATTTGTCCCTGATGATATGATAATAGAAACAAACAACAAACCTTTGCCAATGAAAATCCTTCAGAGAATAACATAATTTCACATATTTGTTGTAAATCTGGTAAAAATGACGACTACTGGTCGAAATAGAGCTTTGATTGATTCCGGTAATTCCGTACGTCCGACATAACCTAGACAAATATTTTTTTAGTAAATTCTTTCAGTATGTGGCTTCTTCTCTTTTTTTGACCTACCTGGATTCATAGTGATACTAAAACAGAAAGACAAAATTAAAATTGATACTAACGATTTAACAGTTACTATTTTACTTACAATACACCCACACGACTATCAAGATCAATTTCTGTTCCTTCAAACACAAATCGTTTTACACGACCAATTAAACCTTGTTGAATTGTTTTCAATTGTGACGAAATAACCGACAGTATCGAGGCATCAATACGATTGAACTCATCGAAACAACCCCATGCACCACTTTGACATAAACCATTTAGATTTTTGCCGATAGCCTAAATAAAAAAATAAATATTAAAAGTCATCATTAGTGTTCAGTTTATTCACAAAAGCTTAGAGAAAAAATAATAATGAGAAAAACGACGTTTTACTTACCAAAAAGTCCATTCCTTCTTCACAATTTGTTACCACACATAGTAGTCCAAGTGCTTTGGCTAAATCTTTGACTGATTCCGTTTTGTCTGTACCTATAATAAATACGTAAGAATTAATAGAAATACGAATAGAAAAATGTTATAACTCGTACCAGCGGGACCAGCAGGTGCTCCTCCAAGAAACATAGATAAAGCCTAGAAAAGCAATCAACAACGCATTAAGAAGTACAATTTATTTATCGAAAATCCGACCGACATACTTGTGTTATTGTTAAATATATTCTGTCTGTCAATGGTGTAATAACCAAACGTCCATTTAAACCCATATATTCATAACCGAAACCAAATTCACCGGTACATTGTCGTATAACAAGATCATCCGTATCTTTTGCCCAATAGAAACGAAGTTGTAATTCCCATTCAAATTCTCTTGCATTCAAAATACTAAAAAATAACAATAATAACAAAAGATATGTAAATTATCAGTTAACAGTCTTGGAAGTGTTTACTATCAGGTGGGTGACTACTCAAAGGCCTTGAGTTGTTATGAAAAGACACTGGAACTTATGTTGAAAACACTGGGACCGAACCATCCATCTGTGGCTACGACATACAACAATCTTGGAGATGTTTACAGTGACATGGGTGACTACTCAAAGGCCTTGAGTTATTATGAAAAGACACTGGAACTTCAGTTGAAAACACTGGGACCGAACCATCCAT